TCTATTGAGCTATGCTACAAAAAGAAAACCTATTCTTGATTTTCCACATAGCCAAAACGTGACTAACTCGTGAAAAGACCAAGATTTTATACAGGATAAATAAAGCGGTGAATAGTCGAAACGATTTATTTTAAAAATAAAATCAGCATCACATCAACATTTATTCTCGAAGCGCAGGTAAAAATGAAGAGATTGGTTTTTATCTGTGCCGCGCGCCAAATTGAATGTAAAGTTGATTTCCCGACGGGCCTTGCCGCATAATTCCCCACAAATTAAGCCGATACCGATTGACTTGCTGCCGATGTAAATATTTTCGATAAATGCCTTTTCATTATGTCTGCATGAATCGATGTTATTGTATGCAAGCAATATCAGAGTTGTTGTTTGATAAAGCGCTGTTGTTAGTAGCTACCTATATTTGTAGGTAGGTAATTCATATGAATAAAATGTTAGTTACGCTTTTGATATCTTATTACCTATAGATATCTAGATATATTTATGAATTAAAAATACTTAATGCTTACATATTTCCATTTCATTTATTCAAAATTGATTTCCGTAATAAAAAGGCATGAAATATATTTAAAAAAAAACATGTTATATTTATTTGATATTTACGTTTTTAGCATTTATTTAGATAGCTATAGGTATATAATTATCTGCGTATCTCCTGGAAAAAGTACAGAATATGTTGTACCTGCTACATGGTATCCAGAAGGCATACTTAAGGTGATAAACGTGGATTCTTAGTAATTACAATAGGCACTGAGGAAAACCGATAGTCGTAATCGAGTTACTCATATCACAAACCTATGGGAGAGTAGGTGCATAGCATACGAGTAGGCACACACAAGGGAACAAAATAATACGACAAAATCTTTAATTATTTAAATGTAATAACTTATAATCGATATTTACGCTCGTCGGTTGTAATTATATTAGTTATTGTAATAGTATTAAGTAATTTCGAACAATGTTGTTTGGAAGTAATCACTTTGGTACTAAACTAAAGCCGTTTCGTTGCGTTATTTCCTTTTAAAAGTGCAGGTACCCGGTTTCCTGTCATATTACGTGTGCATTAGGTCTCAAGAAATAAGTAGTGCCTCTAGCGGATTTTGAATAGTCACTCAGTTAAAATATGTACCTAAGTTATAAGTTAAATCCACTTCCTTCGTTGAAAAACTGCTCCTTGTCTGCAAACTTTAAATAACAGGTATGAACAAATTATAGTCATTAAACTAATAATTATTAATAAGATTAACTGATGGCTATTCCTTTGTGTGCAATGGTCACATTTTCGTTGAAAGAAATATAGAAAACTGGCATGACACAAAAACCTTCTTGGTATGCTTTGAAAGGTGAATAACGTAGCTCACGTTTGATAGGGCTCGAGAAGGATCCGTCCTACTACTAACTTCATCAGAACTAGGACATCACAAGTAGATATATTAAGTTAAGCTCTTTGTTTGCTTTCTAACACATAGGTAGCGATTATATATACATACTCACCGTCAAATAAGCCACTGCCTTCAAAGCAGTGGGGTAGGTATTCTCAGAATCTATAAAAGTTTAAGTCTAGGTTGGTATTTATTGTTAAAAAAACTTTCTTCGACTACGACTATGCTTGAAATTCTTGCAGTTTTTAGGAATATAAAGTTACATATGTGTTATTTCAGACAATATAACCAATGCCGTTTTGCCGTGATTGAGTAATAAACACATATAGAGCGCGCTTTCAGCAACAATAGATAGAGACAAATATTTTACAGATAATTTCTTTGTATACATAAGATTTATCTCTTCGGGTTCGATTATTCCTATTCGTAAGGTGTTGTTGTTTGCACTTCTGAGTAAATAAATAAGTTAATTCGTTGAATGAATTGAATTTATAATTTCATAATATAATCATCGTAACATTATGAATAGACACCGTGTCATGATAGTTAATGTAGGTAGGTACATATTATAACAGACAGGTCCTCAGTTTGATTCGCGGCGAAACAACAATTATTTCGGGCTTGTAGGCAGTGAAAATCAAATCTACCGTATAATAATCATGAAGTCAACAATAGTAAAAGTAAAACGTAATAATTAATATGTAGGTACCTACCCTTTAGTAAATCATATGAAAATCAAATCCGAAAATATGATAGTTACATGAAATCGACATTATTTGTTTTTGATTTTCAACTGTTTTCAACACGCCTGAGTGTGGGTGCAAATGTGTGAGTGAGTTAGTGAGTGAATGAATAAAGTGTGCTATAATGAATAAACTAATATATATAAACATTTGTTTTAGTTACATAACCTAACTACTAATAGGTACATCAGATGTGCCAGTTTTGGTGATCAGTGTGTCCTTAACATTAGGAAGACCTTAATAACTTACTTTGAAATTAGATTAAATGAAAACATTAATCTTCACATGTTTTTGTTAGGTTTTTCTTTTCTATCCTAAAAAGTTCAACACATATAGGGGAAGATCGTTACCCTTCGTACGCGGGGCACATTCATACAGTCAAAATAAAACTTGTACGAAACAAAGTACAGTCTTGTTTTTGTATGTGTGCATGAGTCGAGGTACCAACTATACATCACCGAAGTTTCGCGAAATTCGCACCGATGAGAGTGAAGTTACAGGAATACACGTGTTTTCGCGTTCGGTATGTAATTTTTTGATCAATGTTTTTGTCTCTTGTTACCGTAGATAAAATAAGTTTTCGTGTAGAGTATTCTATAAGTAACTAGCAAAATATACTTAAGATACGTCTCCAATACTTAATTTATGACGTCTTCCTATTAATATTAAAATTCGTTATATTTTCTTGTTATTCAGTTAGTGGGGTACTTTCGGACAGCACTAGATGGGGCACATTTGAACGAATTGTACATCTAAATTTGTATGAAAATATTTTGTCGACACGAACTGTCATTTTCATACAAATTAAGTTTTCGACTTGCTACATACACTACTGTTAAGGCATCTTGACTAAACCCTCTGGTAGTAGGAAAGATTGTGTTAGTGTGCTAATTGCTAATATTTGCATTAACTTTGTCCTGTGTTGCTATCATTGCTATCGTCGATGTAAATATATATTAATACCTATTTTTATTATCTTTATTAAGGTTGATTTTGATGCTTGTGAACCAGATGCTTTGAATAATTTACCAATCCATCAAATAGTAGTTCCTTCGAAGTCAGTTTTGTCACCAGAAGCGTTTCGACCCTATCCGCATGTTGTAAGAAGTAATAAAACAAACAAAATGGCGACGACGGCCAGGAAAACCACGAATTTATACTGCACACCCGAAAATAAGAAGTGCTAATCCGCACCAAAGATTAAATAATGTGATTCTAAATTTAAGATACCTAACTAATTAAATTTTGTTTTACTTAAGAAAAGCTATGTAATTTTTGTTCACTATAAGAAAACTATTTTATTTTTGTTTAATAGAAGTTAAATCTTTATTTTTGTGTTTAATTTCATTGCTAATAAATGAATTTTGATTTATATGTGTCGTTTTAATCGCACGTACGGAACTACCCCACAGCGTACGAATGTACCCCCCAACACTGTACGAAGGTGCCCCGTTGATGGAGCAGATTCGTACGTATTCCAGATTTAGTTTAAATCATAATTATGGTTGAAACATCAGATGAAATCATTTGTCATTTTTTAATATGAATCTCAGATAGTAAGACTATAAATTTAAGCTATCAGATGATTGATTCATGGAAAAAGAAAAAAAATAAAAAATAAAATGTGAAAACCGTACGAAGGGTCCCGACCTTCCCCTATATCACAAATAAACAAACTAACAAATCTTAAAATCGCAAAAGGTTTCGTCTTCCATAATTAGCACCTAACTACCTACTTCGTTATAATCATAAAAGAAATAAAATTTGCATTACTTTATCAAATGTAATATGTACAGCGTATTTATCATGTTTTGTCATGAAATGTAAGTTTTATAATAAGGTATAATAACTATTTTTACGATCCATAAAATTTGATGACATTTGCAAAGGGCTCATCTGCCTCGTACTCCTCTAATGGTATTTTAAGCAACTTATATAGTATTTAAGCGGTAAGATTTAACGCTAAGTATGACTCCTGTGTGGCAAAAATTTCACAAAAAAAAATTTGACATGGAAGTCATATTAAAATTGTATGACCTATTTATATAGAAATACTTTCTATAAAAGAACCAATCCCACTATACATTGTTCTGTGATATCCATATGGTTAAGCGAATGTGGGTATTGTAATTATCATCGTACGTTATGTAGGTAAATTTACGTACGTAAAATTAACATTACATTTTTACGAAAAAAAATATAAATTTTAGTATAGTGTAAGGCTACATAGACACTATCAAAAGATTACCTCGCGTGAGATATTAAATCCGTATTACGTCGTGGCAATCCGCTTATAGCCAAAAATTAATCAAGGACCGGGCTTAGGGGTGCTTTGTACACAAACGAGATCGATACTAGACTTCACGAATTCCATTTCACAAATAAACTCTAGTCAACGTCAAATTATTGTCCAAAGATTCCGGTATTTTTGCTGTTTTACTTGAATGTAAATTCTTTGTTTTGTGCGTTGTAGTAGTTAGTAGATACGTTTAAGTGTTTCTTTTAATAAATTATTTAAATAAAACCATTCTAACTCGAATTGCAGACTGCAATTGAAAACATATCTAGGGAAAAAATAAGACTAAAAACAAAAGTTATTTACGACGATACGTATTGCACGATGCAAGCCTATAGCAAGACGCTCAGATAAAAGACGGACTTTAAAAACAACTATATGGAAAGGACCAAGAGGAAGAAGAGGTTGCCCTAGAAAAGGTAGATAGAAGATAAAGAAACAAAACAAAGAAACGAAAGGAGAAAGAAAGCCATGGAGGATGTAAATAATTCCGAGTTAAAAATTTAAAAAATACTGAGAATTTGGTTGAAATAATCTTTATTCTTAAATAACTAATTTTATCATTCATTTCTTAATAGTCTGTAATTTCGGGCACTCGTAAATATTGATAGATTTGTCCTTTGATACTGAAACAACCTTTTCGCTCGACGAATTAAACTGTACGCCCCACACCTAAACATAAAATAAATTTTAGTCAAAATCTGTATTGAAAACTTTAAGTCGAATATTATGTCATTGTCAAATGAGTTATAACCCGTGGTGTTACATTCGATTCTCTGGAAATATTTTTTTCTCAACACAAAAGATGATCGGCGTGTATAAAAACTACCAATTAAACAAACATCTTTCCTCATCAAGGGTTTTTAAAATAGCAAACAACTCCGTAGGTCTTTTAACCATTTTATTTCATACAAATAGAGTCAGAATGCAAAAATAGTGATATCACAGAAACTTCATTGGTTTAAATGTTAATGGCATTGTAAGAAATTAAGTACTTCATAGTATGTGTATATATTATATGTAGGTCGTCGTGAATATTATTAAAGCAAATCTATGTAGACTTACTATTTTACTATGATCCTGAAAAGTTTTTAAGATCTTAAGGCCGGAAGTTGACGCAATGACCACCTCCCCATCACCAGTTCCCGCCGCTATGCAAGCGCCGTCAGGTGAAAAGCCTGCTTGTAAAACCCAGGTCTTGAGCTCTAAACTGGCTTGAAGATCACCACTAGCGCTGGAATTTTATAGTCGGTTAACGGTCGGGTGGTAATTAAAAGCCTATTTATCGTCGGTGGTCGGCAACGAACTTGCGAGGCTTCTGGTTGTATGAGTGTCCATGGGCGGCGGTATCACATAACATCAGGTGCGCATGTTGCAAGTTTGCCCACTGTTTTTTAAAAAATAAATGCGACGCCATATTGCGAGGTTTATTTAACACAACTTAAAATATTTCGCCTTTGCTATCTTTTGTATATCCCATACTTTGTTAGTACCATATTATATGACGCAATGGAATGCTTTATTATTAACCTGTATGCCTGTCTCATTTTTCTTCAAAGGTTTAGTTCATTTATAAGAAAAAGAGCCAGATGATAGCATAATTTATTAAAGACAGTGCTTTAATTGCCTTTATATGGCCCAAAGATTAAAGAAAATAGTGTTAAATTAGTGTTACCATTCCTATTTTAATAATTAAACCTGACTTATATTAGTTCCATGCAAAGTTAGGCACAGAACAATAATTACCCATGTATTTTATTTAGTAATAGATATAAACTCACACATTAAACAACTTGACAAATCCATCACTAGATGCAGTGATAACTAGTTTACTGTTTGGTGAAAATTCAATACTTCTAACACCTTCTGTGTGTGCTTCTACTGTGTGAATTAATTTACCCTGAGTTTCATCAAAGATACAAATATTTCCATCAACATTACCGCTAGCTATAAACTTGCTATCTTTACTCTAAAAAAAATAACATTTATGTCTTAATATCTTCATGACATAAGCTGAGAGATTAGACGTCCAGTCATTCTGGCTACTAAATTGACGAAGGAAATCTACATTAACTTGATTAAAGAAAAGCCTCTAGACCTCCTAGCCCTAACTTTGTGTGAGATAAACAAGATCACAACCGCACCCATTAGACTGCTTGCAGATGCAATGTTATAACTAAGAGCTGCATATCCAAGGCTTGCAAATTATAAAAATTGATTGGTAAATAACAAATTTTGCCTACTCAATAGCCAGTGCCACAACTAGATGCATTATTAGTTCATTATATTATTCAATATTTTATCTTACCCATGACACACATAAAGCAAATTTTGCTCTAGTATCAAGAACTTTTAAGACATTTTTCTTCTCCACATCATAGATAATAAGTTTTCCAGTATGAGTACTTGACACTACCTTGGTGCCATCAGGCGAAAATGCCACCTTCCATGTGTCAATTGAACCAGTTTCAATCTCATGAACTTTGTTTCCAGTTGATAACTCCCAAATTATTAGAATTGAGTCTAGAGAGGTGGTTGCCAATGCTGAAATAGAAATTTTATTTTTTTAAACTACTCTTTATTTAATGATTTATTTATTTACTACATCATTAATAAAATTATCACAAGTAACATGTTTCACAATTATAACCTTTACCATAAGCCTATCTGTAAAAAAAAATTCAAGCATCCAAAACAATTGGTGCTATTACAAGTAATTCAAGTCAAAGTAAGTCTAGAAATATTAATAAATATAATAAAACTTACTATATCCATCTGGGCTTATGGCAACTGACACAATAGCCATACTATGTCCTTTCAGTACATGCAATAATTCCAGCTTATTATTCTTTATTTCCCACACTTTTGAGATGCCATCCAGTCCAGCTGTTACTATATAATCTTTTGCTTTTTCACTAAACGTAGTAAATTATTCATCATTACTTAAACAGCAACCATAAAAATTTTAAATCATATTTTATAGATGTTACATACTTAGAGTCACCAGTTGGCATAATTTTCGTCCAAGCACAACAGTAAATTGGATCTTCATGTGCATTCTCCTTTTTACAAAGAAGAGAATACTAAAATAAATTGTATTAGTAATATTAAAAAAGTTAATAACTTCAAATAGTCCGGAGTCCGGAAAGCGTATTATAAATATTTTACCGCTTTAGCCGCAGTCATACTTTACTCTGTAAATATTTGATTATGCCCAATGTTTAAACTTCGTAATAATTATATTTATTAATAAGTTTTTAATTTGAATCACAAATCAAATTTAAAATTATGACCACAGATTACTATGGTTGTGAGTTGTGACTTAAAATAATTAATTTGCACTTGCCTTTGGCAGACTGACATAACTGACGTATAACAAGTATTAAGTATAATAATTACAGATAAAGAGACAAAAAATTGCGGACTGATTTGCATCTAGCTTGTTCGCATAGCATTAAGCTAAATATTTTTGTAATTAAAAAAAAATATATATGCGTCAGAAAAGGTGGTATGGTCTTAGGACTAGGGCGCCTGCCTCCTGGCTAGAAGGCGATAAAATTATAAGAAATAGATATCACTAAACACAATATTGTTAGCGCCAATTTCATAGGATTTAAAACATTGAAGGATGAATAAATATAGGTAAAGATGTGAATGTTTGTTTGCTCATTTACTTATTACAATTTGTATACTTAAGTACAAATCTTATCAACACAATGTTCTGTTATCTATAAAATCAAACAAAGCATATAGTTATAAATTATAATTTACAAAATAATTAATAATAATATTGATAACTATAATGGACAGTCATAAATATTTATGCTTTTATCTTCTGAAACAGAAACAATTTTATTGCTTTCTGCATTAAATCTTACTCCCCAGACCTGTAAAAACAAATGAAACTTATTACTTTGCTAATCTAAATTGATTTCACTGTGTATAATATGTATTTATTATGAAAGATGACCTGATCAACATGTTCTTTGAATACATGTTGGCACTGCATAGTATCTAAATCCCAAACTCGTACAGTTCTATCAGAACTGCCAGATACAAATCTTTTACCATCTGGAGAAAAAGCGACAGATAGGACCCATGAGGCGTGGCCTGACAAAGTGCCTGCTAAGTTTGCATGTACTCTAAAAACCAAAAAAGGAAATGATTATTGTAACATTAGTAGAAAAATATAAACTAGAGATAAAACTTAATACTTTTTAATAGTTGATAAATTTTATTGAGATTTGGTTTTACTATATAAAAAATTTCATTGCTCAGACATTCTAGGCTCCTTTCAACACTTTCAACAACAAACAATATTATTTGTAGGAATAAACTCACAGACAAGCTCAACAGAAATTGATCTGTAATAAAGTTTAACTTAAAAGTTTAGCCTTACGCATCATAGAGTTTCATGTGTCCATCATCAGATGCAGTCAATAGCAGTTGTGAATCAGGCGAGAAGCATAAACTTCTTATAGGTTTTGCATGTCCTTCTAAGGTATGAACTAATTTACCCTGTGCTACATCAAATATTTTTACAATTCCATCTAAAGCACCACTTGCAATGTATTTACCATCAGGACTCTTTAAAAATAATACATATTATGTTAAAGAAAATTATCATAATTAATAATAAAAATAACAATGCAGTTGAATCTACGAGCTATGCACTTTTTAAATTTTACACTAAATATCATATTATACTCACATATGCAACACTCAATGTGAATTTACCCCTAGTATCTAGTGTCTGTTCCAATTTGCCAGTTTCAACTGAAAATATCAAAATCTTTCCAGCATTGCTTCCTGATACAACATTCTTTCCATCAGGAGAAAAATCTAAAGTCCATACATCTGTTACTCCAGTGTCCATAGTTTTTAATTTCTCTCCAGTTTCAATATCCCATAATATCAAAGATGCATCTTGGGAACTACTGGCGAGGGCTAAAAATTATAAAAATAAGGCCTAAGAAAAGAATGTCATTAGCAATTTTTAAGTGAAAATCCATGTGTAAGTTTAGGTGCTTGTCTTTTATATGCATTTATAATGAGGTATTACATTAAAAAAAATATTAAAATCCTTATCCTAATCCCGTCCTTAATTATAACATCCTTCTTGTGGTATAACTTACTTTTGCCATCAGGGCTTACAGCGACTGATATAACACCTAAAGAATGACCATCAAGTTGATGCTTCACTTCTAGTTTTCCATCAATTAGCTGCCAAATTTTAACCATATCATCCAGGCCTCCAGTTATAATATAGCTTTTTGGATCCTCCAGTTCTGGATTGGAATCCCTGTAAAACAACTTAATTACAGGAAACAATATACATATAAGAATAATGTTACTTAAAATTTTATAGTTTTTAATATTCTACTACTAAATTGACTATGACTAATATATTGGATATTGGACCTTCCAAATGAAAGAACATACATAAGTTAAATATTTTTGACAACTATTCTCAGATCCAAAAGGGGCTACCGTTATTTATTCTTATATAGATATGGTAATAGGTTATGTGTACATACTGCGAATGTTCCTTGTTTTCCTCATCTATTTTCTTTTCTGGTTTAATATTACTCCATCCACAACACCATATTGAATCATCGTGAGAATTTTCTTTTTTTAATTGTACATAATACTAAAATAAAACAATAATGATAAGGATGATTCGTTACCGGTATTTTTTTTAAGAAAAGTTATATTTGTATATGTGTATAGACTTACAAGGGTCGTAATAGACATGTTAGATTAAAATCAAGGTATTATTATTTATATTGAAGTCAGTCAACAAAACAAAATACATGTAATGTTTTGTTTAATATTAGGTTTTGGATCAGTAAATCACGGAAACTTCACGGTTTTTTCAACTTCAATTGAGAATTGACATTGACATGACTATAATTATTAATAGACTACTATGACAAATTTGACAGTAATGAATATAGAGTTTTATTACTTCGCAGTTCGCACTTCGCACAGTTCGCAGTAGTTCTTCCGAGCTAGTGAGTGATGTCTCCTACAGAATGTCTGATTAAATATCGATTAAAAACCTAAAGTTATTGTTGTACATTCGGTTTTGCTGGTTTCAAATATGAATTATAAATGCATTCAATAAGTATAAAATAGGCTGATTATAGTTTTATGATATTTCAGTTATAGCCTCGCTTTTTAGTTTGTTGGTTGGGTTCGAGGTTTAATATAAATTGTATAGAATCGTGCGTATGATAATGTTTTTTTCTTGAATAAAGTTCCCCTTTATAAACCCCCTATAAACCCCCTGGACATCTTGATTCCCCCTAAAAATAATTGAATCATAGATTAGGAATGTGTTAATGGGACTCTCTATAGATTAGAGAAATAAAATAAACATATTAAGAGAATTGTTTTTATTAAACAATTTGCAATAAAATAGATAAGTGTGGACTTTATTACTAATATGTTTTTCTTCGAGACTATTCGACTAAAAGAGTACTAATATTATTTTTTTACCTTCGCATGGCCTGTTGTCGCCAAATGTTAAATTAGTTCAACGGCAGTGCCACAAATGCTGTATTTGACATCGTCACAGGTGATGAAACCTGGATATATTGCTACGAACCCGAAACCAAAAGACAATCAGCTCAGTGGGTGTTTCCTTTCGAGGATCGGCCAACTAAGGTAAAGAAAGGAAGAAGTCAAGGAAAAAAGATGATTGCCTCATTCTTTGGTCGGAAAGGTCATTTCGCGATGGTTGTGCTAGAAGATGGAAGGACATTTACTGCAGATTGGTATGTCAATCGCTGTTTGCCTATTGTCATGGAAAAAACAAAACGACAGCAGCGCCCTCGAAGCAGGATCCTTCTTCATCACGACAATGCTTCAGGGCACTCCGCAATACGATTACGATAATGAGTCATCCGCCATACAGTCCTGACCACCCAGGCGCCCTGCGACTTTTTTTTATTACCAAAAACTAAAGATACCGTGAAAGCGTACGAAAATTCCATAAAAGAGACCCCTAAGGAAGAATGGGCCCACTGCTTTTCTGTGGTTCCATCGAATGCGACGATGTGTAGAGAGGAACGGAGTACTTCGAAAAACAATAAAAGTATTGGCAACTTTCTACATTAAGCTGTTTTTCATTTTCTAAACATTTACACTGTCACCTAGGTATTAGTTTTGAGTGTAATCGAGTATGGTTAAAATCTAACCTACTATGCTATTCTATGCAATAAACATGTATTAAAAATAGAATTTATATTATTTTCTATAAGGTATAACAATTTTATTCACTCACTCTTATGCCGGCCATACACGCTACGGTCTACCGGAGAGGTAATCTGTGCAGGTATGCCTGCGCAGGTCAACCGAACAAAGATAGCGTGTATGGGGACGTTCCGGTGTATCGGAGCGGTCTTCAGTTCTCTTTGCGATGGCATCGAATGTGGACGATGACACGCTGGCGTTGCTAGGTCTTGTTTTAATTTTGAAGAAAAATGATACGAAAAACAAGCGAAGAAAGTGGTGTAAGCATTGGTTATTGAAAAGGAAAACATATAGTCATGTTACTTTATTAAATGAATTGAAATTTGAACCAGAAGATTTTAAAAACTATCTTCGAATGGACGAGAAAACATACATTTAATTACTTGAAATGGTTACTGCTATAATAAAAAAAGAAGACACAGTTAAATAACAAATCAAACTTAAAACATAAGTAATAAATGTAGATACATTGCCGATTACTATCTTAACAACCTGCGCAGGCGACCGGAGTACACGCACACACGCACAGGTACACCGTACGGTGTCACTAGAAAGAATCGATTTTCGATCTTGCGCCGGTCGCCTGTGCAGGTTTTTGAACCTGCACAGGTCTATTCCCACACACATTCCGGTCTACCTGCGCAGGCATACCTGCACAGGTGGACCTCTCCGGTAGACCGTAGCGTGTATGGCCGGCATTAAGAAGGTTTCAAAGATTATTCTATGGTCTGGGAATTGTACCTAGTTAACCTGTGGTTATGAAGAGATTGTGATAAGTATGTATAAGCTGTGGTGTTTCTCGTTTGTGGAAAGTGGAAAGTGATTGTGAGTTGTGATGTGACTGTCATTAATAATTATTTTATTATACTCAGAATAACTTAAAAGTATAATATAAAGTTTATAATGTTTCATAACGATTTATCGATAATTAATTAAATTTTGATCCACTCCGAAGCTTGTTTTTTTGTAACGGTTTCAATATAACCTAGCAACATGGCTATGTCAAAATCTACAAATACTTACAATCGACAAAATTGGGAAGATTCCGTAAGTAAGAACAAATTTGCTAAGTATGAAATGTATCCTGTGTCAATTTTAATTCTATTTACATTTTTAGGACTTTCCTATTTTATGTCAGACATGTCTTGGAGACAATCCTTATATTCGTATGGTAAGTTGTCGATATACGTTTCTTTATTGTTTTATATGGCAAAGGAAATAAAGTGATGAAATTTTATTGACACTTTATAATTTTTCTCATTTCTCATCTTACAGACAAAAGAAAAATATGGAAAAGAATGTAAAATTTGTATAAGACCATTTACTGTCTTTCGATGGTGTCCAGGTGCTAGAATGCGTTTTAAAAAAACAGAAATTTGTCAAACATGCTCTAAACTTAAAAATGTTTGTCAAACATGTCTCCTAGATCTAGAATATGGATTACCTATTCAAGTTCGAGATGCTGCCTTAAAAATTCAAGATGATCTTCCTCGGAATGAAGTTAATAAGGAGTATTATATACAGAACCTAGATAGCGAAATGGCGAAGTTTGATCCAACTCAACCAAGCAATTCATCTCTAAAAACTAAAGGGTCTTCAGACTTACTGTTACGCTTAGCAAGAACTGCTCCATATTATAAAAGGAATAGGCCACATGTGTGTTCATTTTGGGTAAAGGGTGAATGTCGCAGAGGTGAAGAATGTCCCTATAGACATGAAAAGCCAACTGATCCTGATGATCCCTTAGCTGATCAAAATATTAAGGACAGGTATAGTAATAATTTCTGCTAACCTAATAAAGATTCCTTTTTTTTAGTAAAAATAAACTTTTTTCAGGCTAAAGTATGATAAAGGAAGTAAAGTTATTCTAAATTAAACTTCTTGTTTCCTCTGGTTTAGATTTATTATAAAGACAATACTAAGCTTAATAATAGCAATAGGTTTGTAAACTAAAGTGATGTTTTAAACAGTTTTAGTTATTTTTTGTGTTCTCGTTCATCTGCAATCAGCCATAATCAGATAATTTCTGAGTTTTATATGCTATATAACAGTTTTAGTAAATTATATAATTTAATCTATATAAATCATAAAATAACAAATTAAGTTAATATATTAATAGAAGATTAAAACCATTTAATTTGAATGTGCCTTTATAATCCCCAGACAGGATAGTATCAAGATTCTACATGTATACATTTTAGTTTAAATAAGTCTTAAATACTTTTTTAAAATTAGATACTATGGTGTAAATGATCCTGTGGCTGAGAAGCTTATGCGGCGTGCAGCAGCTATGCCTGCATTGCCACCACCTGAAGACAGGACGGTGACAACTCTGTACATAGGAAATTTGCCTGAGAATATTACAGAAGATGAATTGAGAGGACATTTCTATCAATATGGTGAAATAAGGTATGTTTATTATGGGACTTAAGTAACCATTGTATTATACATTGTAATATGCATATGTATAAAATTTGATTATACTTAATGTGACTGTGACTTTTTACTGCATTTAAAATGCTATATTCAAATTACTCTCATTTCAGGCAGCTGACTTTAGTTCCAAGGGCACAATGTGCCTTTGTGCAGTATACAACAAGGAGTGCAGCTGAGCATGCTGCAGATAAGACATTCAATAGGTTGGTGATAGGAGGCAAGAGACTCACTATAAAATGGGGCAAATCACAAGGTGAGGGAGAGGCTGGGTTAAAATTAATTAAATGGTGTACACATTTTTGTACTGTTTATTAACATAAACTTTATTTCCTATTATTAGGCCGTCAAGGAAATAACGATAAGAGTGAAATGGCTCCCCCACTAGAACCTGTTCCTGGTTTACCTGGGACTCTACCTCCACCACCGGCTTATTTACATCCATTCCCACCTCAGGTAAGAATTTTTTGTAGGACTCACTAAATCTCAGTCTCGAATCATTGGAATCAAATCTATTTTAACAATAAATAAATATCTGTATGTTCGTTTAGTACACAAGAAGGTTCAAAAATACACAGAGCTAAGCTCTCAAAAGTTACCAATGGTTAAAAAATAACTCATAAAACTACTTTCCAGATGCCGCCTCCAAACCGTCCCAATGACTTCTTCAACCTGCACCACTATGGTGGGCCTTGGGGTGGTTGGGGTGGACCTCCACTCCCCCCAGGTCCGCCTGGCATGCCCCCTGGGCCCCCAGGTATGCCACCTGGAATGCCGCCTGGTCCACCTGGGATGCCGCCGGGACCACCTGGAATGCCACCAGGTCCGCCTGGCCCACCTCCAGGTCCACCCCTGGCTTTGCATTATCCCAGTCAAGATCCAGCGCGTTTAGGTGCCCATGCGCACGCATCTGCCCCACAAACTTAATTTGTGGCAATGTGTAATGGAATTAAATATGAGTGTAGATATAAGTCTTAATTTTTTTAATTGAGTAGATGATGGATGTTTTGAAATTTCACAATGGAAGTATCAAAATACTAAGTCTAAAATGTTTGTTTATGTGTAATATCGAGAAGTTTGCATAAGTTACATTATTTGTCTGAACATGTAGTGAGGATTTTCCTTTAAAAACAACTATGCATTTTGGTACAGTGCAACAAAATAACTTTGTAACATAATGTCTTCATCTGTGTATTTTGAAATAAGGTATAGAAATATATGACTTTTCACAAATAGCTCTTTAAATTTTTTAGACTTTGTTTCCATAGATAATTCAGTATAGAGATTTAGATTTCATTGCCGAGTTGTACTGTTGCAATTGGTTTACTAGTTCCAAATTATTGATAATTTTACGGAGAAGTACGGCTGTTCTCTGTTCAATCGTAATGTTTACATGTATGCACAAAGGGCTATGGACGTCCTCATCTTTTTAACAACTCGGCAAACTAGTACTGCATGATAATAAACTACATATAGTAGTAATGCATGTCCGAACATTTGAAATCATTAGTATAATTTATTTATATAATTACTTTTTTACAAAAAAAAATGTAACTTTAAACCAATACTGTCCGTTTCTCGCAAGATTCTGGAATAAATCTTCGCTGCTTGTGCAAGTTCTAGAGCACAATACGTATCCCGTGTTAACCGTTGATGAGCTTTACAATTTAACAAAATGCCAACGCCCCCATTTACATAATAGTTAAACCAACATCCTCTCTTTCTGTATATTCATTGACGTGGTCGTGGTTGAGTGTCGTGATTTTTATTTAAATACTAAAACATGTTAAAATAAAAACATTTAATTCACGCCAAGACCATACAAAGTGTTATGAAAAAAATTAAACTCTACAAGGTTATTGCCTATTGGTAATTCATCGTTTTTCAGTTAGGAGGTGATAGGGGTGACTCATTTATAATTGGCCTAGTAATAATATTGGTAGTAGTCCATAACCCTTGCATTTTATGCACAAAATTTAATGTATTTCAATATACAGAAGAACTAGAGCAAATCATATCTAAGTACTAACATCGTTTACGTTGTAATAAGCTTTAGCAAGCAGAGCTTTCTTTTAACGTGTGATTTCAATGTATTAATTGACAACACTTGTAGCTTAACTTTATTAAAAGAACGCATGCAATGGAAAGAATATGTAGTTTTATGCAGCCTTGTGGTTGGCGCACTAATTTTGCCTTTACTTGAGTATTAAAGTTATGGTAGATATTATTCTTTAAAATAATCTATATTTTTTGCTTCTAAAATGTGAAATTCTTTAAATTAACTACGGTCTACGGACTGATTTTCGTGAGGTTAACCCACAGATCGCTCGAATAGCCCGCTTCTGTTCCACAAATATCGATTTAATATCAGCTGCATATCACATAAAATGCGAAAACAACTAAAGTTTACAAGCTTTGCTTTGCAACTTGAATATTGATTGATACTGATAATTCTATACAGCATCAATTACTTAGTTTATTAATGCTTATCTTCACAATAATAAGCTTAACGGCTAATATTCAGACTGCTACACACATATACATACGACTCGCCTGTCTATCATATGCCTAGATAGAATTGTATCTTATTTCGGCCATAGAATGCGCAGAGGCGATGAGAACTTGGAGAAACAGATCGTAGTTGGTAAAATAGAAGGCAAAAGATCACGTGGCCGTTCAAGTGAAATACTCATCGAGCTCAAAACTGTATACTGGCATTTATTAATATGTAACAGAGTCGTTCAACAAAGTCGCGGGCACCTAATAAGTAAATAATAAAACAACATTTTCAGAAATTATATTTATTATTAATCATAAGTTTATAACATGACTTAATCGTTAAAAAACAGTTAAACAAGATAAATCTACGCCTTCACTTACCATTATCTGGGTAAGGACGGTCTGATAATAATTTACATTAAACTAGGCCCAGATATATCTTACAGTGTCAAATTGCTTTACATATCAATCAAAAATACAATAGAGGCTATTACAAGTGTCTGAATAGATTAGCAATCTGTGTAGGTAAGGCATTGTATACTCTATGACTTTTCAAAATGCCGCCAAACTTTTTGAACTCTTGTAAATGAGCCTTTTGAAAAAATGCAGTGAAGTATGCTTGAAATTTCATAGAAAAATGTTCTTAGATTATGGAAACCATTAGTCGAGTGACTAGGTACATTTTATTCTTAATATTGTGTAGATAAGTCTTGTGCATAATCTAATAACACACGGCAAGTTACACATGTTAAGTAACGATTCAAACGCACATACTATCTTTTCGTTTCACAGCTAGCTAATGTTCGATTTTTTATTCAGTCATTACAAGAGCAGACAATACATTTGGCTACATAGAGACTATGATGTCGTACAAATATAGAAATATAGAGCGAGTTAATAATGTCGTTCTTTTTATATAATAGGAGGCACATGGGCTGAAGGATCACCTCATATTAAGTCATCGCCCATGGACACGTTGAAAAACCCCTCGCTAGTGCTCTACTTAATTATGTATTTATCTGTATGTATTGGTTCTGAATGCCTGCATTCCAAAACGTTTCTCAAATTATAACTTTTGATCATTATCAATACATTTTTGACAATAGAAAAATTGGGTTGACATATATGGAAATTAGTTCGACTTTGAGATACGTTCTGAAATATGTAATTTATTAGCTAGCTGTAAAACGTGCCCTATAATAAAAGTTTTAATGAATTAATGTTCTCGAAGGGTCGATAAGCAATATATATACACTGGCCCAAGTGGAATGTTAATTTTGAATAATGAAAAGCTAAATTCGATTCTAATTAAATAATATATTTTAGATATTAATTCTATGATAATGTTTATGCCTCAGAAATGCAGGAATATTTGGGAGTTCTTAAATATTTAAAGCGTCCGTAAGCTCATGTGTTTTAAAATAAATATAGCGATAAGTAATTCCAGCTTTTTGCGCAATAATTTATATGAAATACTTTTTACATTATAAAATAATCGCAATATTAAATACAACAATTGGCAACATATTTCGATAGTTAAAATAATTTTGATAAAATTAAATTGAACAAGCGTGCATTACATTTTCTTAAATATAATAACAAGCTTGTCATACATGTATTTATTACTAACACTTAGATTTAAACAATAGTATGTTGAAGGCCAATACCAAAACATATCTCAAGATAGTAAAATTGATAGATCTTGAACCTAGGTTTGATTAATGTTCTGAAATACGGGCCTCTGCGTGTACTGATGTCTTAAGAAAAAATATAATGTTCACGCCTGAACATGAATTTCTACTTTGACACTGGCCACATAATCTCAATACATACTCAGACCGAAACATGTTCTAAATTTACAATTTCATAATTACATTATGTACTTCCTCGCCGTGGTCGTCGTCGAAAATCTGTAAATAAAAACAATTGAAGAGCCTATCAGTGCCGAATTGGTCGTCTTCGCATTTACTAATATGTTAATTTGAAATATAAAGAAGCAAATGGACCTCTCTCTCTTCACTATTCGCATTGATCGTAGGAACTAAATTAGTTTTTTTAAGCCTTTAAAGTCCGCTACTTTATAATAATTGGAGCTTTAACTCTTAATCTGAGTACATAAAATATAACCATTATTTGAAAGAAAAATCATTTCGTGGCTTTGGATTTCGAATCAGTTGGGTCGTTTTAGTGATTTTTTATCAATTTTTAAAATCTGCTTCTATCTTTTAAATTGAATTACACTAGTGAAAGAAATATAGAGAGCGTGTTATTTAAATTTTATTGTAGTAGACACATGCACAATTATTATTACACAAACACTAAATGTCAATAAGAAAAAAAAGAATCATGAAAAAAAGTAAAATAAATTCCTTTGACTAATAACTATTATTTTTTTATTCATTGATAATAAGGTTTTAATCAAGACATCATTAAATATTTACCCGTTAATATCTGTTAGCGTTAGCGTTAATCTGAGCGTTCACGGCGGCGGCGGCGGCGTTCGAAGCAGCGGTTTGCACGTGTTGGTTGCGTAGAATTTCGGTCGTGAATTCTGCTTGGGCCTTTGCTAACGACGCTCCCGTTGAGCGATAGATACGGTGGACCTGTGGGTTATTTATAATACTTAAAAAATATATATAGACTGATTCCATATAAGACGTGCATAATTTAATATTTCCACGTACGTATTTTTCATAGAACAGCCGGAGGCAAACGGTTCATTCGCGGTCAAGTGATAACGCCGACCATGGAGAAGGCTTTTCACTCTATATCAGATAATTAGCCCCTAGGCATCAATACAAGTGCCTACGACGAAGCTTACTAATGAAACATCTTATGGTAAGGTTGAGTCAAGTTTCAGAAGCACTGGGTTTTACACCTCAACAAAAACGAATTGTACTTTTGCTATAAGGTTCATAGTTCGCGCTAAGTCTCGCCAAGGAATGACACCCTTAGTGTATTAAAAAAACATATATAAGCATAAGTTTTTGTATAGAGTCGAAAATGCCGTTCGGACATAATCGGATCTTATAAAACACATTTAAGTCATTTCTTGTTTTAAGTTCAAACTTAAAAAGCACAAAAAAATCACTCGTTACTTATATAGCGTATATATAAAATATGTTCCGTAGAAAATCGTTAAAGTATTTAACATGCAAACATACCTTAGTCATAAGCAAAATATCAGCTACTACGCAGGTAATAAAGCCAATAGTGACAATGAGAGTGACGATTCCCACGCCCACATTCTTACCAAATGTTTCGAGGCACATGATCAGTCCACTGAAATATTTATTTTATCATTAAAACATTGGCCCTCAACATAATAAAAAAAGTGCGTGCGTACAAAGTACACGTCAGAAGTGAAACTTCATTGGCTAACTAATTTTTAACTCTTGTTCATGTTTATACAAATCTAAAACTTTGCATTTCCGAGACTTTGAGGTAGCGAAAAAGGAAGATATGTTAGGAAATTAATGGTCATTAAAATATTGTCGAAAATTAATACAAATAATAAAAAAAATTAAATTAATTTTTTCGATAACAAAAACATGTGGCATTTAATTTTACAATTCGTCATTTGAGATTTCAATAAATCATTTTGCATAAAAAATAAAATACTAATATTTCATAAATTCTCTTTACGAAATTTTAATTTTAAATATAGATTTTCTATAAGTTAATTCACCCTTCTCACTCTCTCTCAATCGGCCTCCATCGCTCTCTCCCTTTTCTTCGACAAAAACGCTGCACATTATCGTGACGTTTTTAAAAAAAATTACCCTCATGCGCCTGAAGAAGTTTCATTTCCAAAACCGAGGCGCTACATAAATATTGTAGCATGGTAGGCCTCAAGAATTTTTCTAATAGGCAAGTAGGTAATCAGATTTCTGTGCCTGACACGACGATTTCTAGGTCTTAGGCACCGTTTCCTTACGATGTATTCCTTCACCGTACGAACAAGTGTTAAATGTGCACATGTGAACATTAGTGAACAACCGGGATTCGAACGTACGAGCTCAGGGATGAATGTCGCACGCCAAGCACAAGGCTAATACTGCTCATTTACTTAGTGGAGTATATAATGATGTTATTTCTATATAAAATCAACGGTAACCATGGTAACAAATTCTTTATTCCTTTATGAACCTCTAAATATCCAAACTTGATTAAAAATATTTCTTAGATTTCAAAAACATTTTAAAAGTCAAAATTGTATTATTATTACTTTGAAAACAACACAAACATTTTCTTTACAAAACCTTTGAATCGATAAATAAAAATATGTTTGAATGTTAGGGAGCGTTCAAGTCTTACGTAACGAATTTGGGGAGCAGGGGTTACTTTTGTAAAACGTTACTATGCGGGGCGGGGATTTAATTACGCGTTATTGTTAATATTATTTTCGACTTTCCAGTACTTAACACCACAAACATTGCGTGACGTAATACTTGAACGCTTCCTTATTGGTTCTTAATGTCAGGGTAATTTACTATGAAAGCTAACTATAACTTGGTTATACCAATCCAAAACAATACTACGCCGATATATTCTACATCACAAAAAAGACGCGTCGACATCATACACATCTGAGACTGACACAGGAATTTTATACTTATCAATAAATTAAAACAAACGCCATAAATAAAAAATAGTTCCTATTAAAAAAAAACTCACCACGAGCCTCCGTTCTCGATTCCAATAGATTGTACCACAGTGATAATTATTTGAAAAAGGAATATAAAGAAGAACACCATAAAATTAAAAGAGGAGTCACTTCTGAAAGCTTTGTATATCGGTCTGTACCAACATATAAAGCTAAATGGTGTTAGAAGAATGAAGTACAGAATTGATAAGCCAAAGACGGTTACTCCGCCGTCTATTCCGGCAATCATCATGGCCATTCCGCCAATGATGTTCATGGCCAGTACAAGGGAATGAACTGCAATAAAAAATATGTATATTATAGAACAATGAAATCAATATTAATTAGATCGAATTCAATATGATTAACTTTATGACTTAAAGAAATATTGAAATAATATCTAGATATATACCCAGATCTCAACCCTTTAAACTTAGAATTATGTTCAGTTTTAGAAAACATGCCATACTCTAAACGACACGGCGACATTGAGTCTCTTAAAAAATTCTTTGGAAATAAGCAGTGGCGAAATTTTCCTTGTAAACAGTGCGTAAATCCATTTCATCCAAGAATTTTCATTTGTAACAGAACTTATGGCTGGACTAGGTATATTGTTGGGTATCAAAGAATTCCGTATTACTAAACTTGACATCTCAAGAGTCGAGAATTTCTGGATAACATAGATAAATCTAGTTATGTAAATAATAAAAATAACTATTCAATAAAGTAAATTCATCAAAAACTTACACATCCACAAGTGATATAGATGCCTCACAATCCTTTGAAATTCTAGCGGAATGTCCACATTTATGTCCTGATAAAAGCAGGGTTGTACTGGACAGAAAGATGGCAATGGAGGCCAGTTATTTCTTCTGCCTGCGGAGCCAGCACGTAGTTCTGCCTCACGTCTTGCTAGTTCTTCTGCTTTTCTCTCTAACTCTTCTTGTCGTCTCTGAAATTTTTGGATAAGGATTTATTATGATAATAGTCGGCAAGACATTATTTTTAAACTCTAGTTTTTTCTGTGATATATTTAGTATTATTTGTTGTTTGTTTAATGTTAAATTTCAGATTTCTTAAATTTTTTTAAAATATATTTTTGTCTTTTAATTTTAATTATTTAGTTTTTTTGTGTTTTCTGTTTCATATAATCTGTTTTGGCTTTCTATATTGTCTAAGTGTTTTGTTTTATAATATGTATGTTTCCTAATAAATAAATAAATTGATAATTATCAAATTACTTATGTACATACACAAATCTAGTATGTAATAAGTAATTACAAAATACAATGATTTTACCAAACAAGCTACTATATACATAATACTAAATACATAAGTAATAAGTATTTCATTAAACCAGTATAAGCAATGTAATATGTAGAATCTACCATAACCGTAAAAGCAAGAAAATATTACTTTAAATAAGCGTCCATCTTAATAGAAACCAGCAAAAAAGACACCACTACAATTAACAAAAATATGTATTATAGTATCAATAATGAAACAGTCTTGCCAATAGTGATCATGATAAAATATAGAAATGATGAATCATTAAAATGTGCATTACCTTCAACTCCTTGTGTGGTGCAAGAATATAAGAATTAAATCATTAATCTAATTGAAGCCTGCTATTTATTTTTGTACTAAATTAGAGTGATGTTAATGTGCAATTACATTTTTTTATTTTTTTATAGGTCTCTTTGACAAATTATAACTTTGAAATTGATTAATATATAAACAATAAATACAAAATGTTGTTTTTTTTAAATCTTGAAATTAATAACTTTTCTATTGTGCAAAACAACTAGGTGTTATTAACATCTAATGTTATATATTTATTAGATTTTAATTTAAACCTAAAACTAAATGCTGTGGTTATGACTAAATAAGCTATTAAAACAAGTCATAATATTGACATATAAATAACTTACACAAAACAGTGTTCTTTTTAAGGATCACATGTAAATTTTTCTAAATATTATACTTTATTTGTTTGTTGGCTAAACATGCCAACAGTATTTTTATTGAAAAGTCTATTTATTGAGGAAGGTTATATAACATCATAAAACAACAACAATAATTACAATCAACAATTAAAAATAAATAAAAATTTATTATAACATAGAATATAACTACGTTTAATATACACTATTAGATGTCATAATTCTTTATGACATACTTTAGGAAATTTGCTTATAACATACCTGAAAGTCAGCCGTTGTAAAGTTTGAAGGTGGAGCTTGAGTTTGGGCTGCTGGCCCAGGTCTAGTATATTGACCAGTTGCAGGTGGTGAAACGGCTTGCATGATAGCAGGCTGAGTTGGTTGTTGTGGAAGCTAAAAATGAGTATTATAGGTTCACAAATAATGTCTATATCATAATAATATATTATTTTGCCCAATCTAAATAGCAATATATCACATATTCAATAATGCAGGGCTGTATTATACTTTTAAGAATTAATGAAAATTAAAGTTTCTTTATAACATTTTCAAAATAAATCTGATGGATATAATTCAATAGAATACTGATTTCCTGCAATATTCAAGTAATAGTCAAATAAATGCTTTACACGCACGCATCAAATTATAATATATACACGCATCAATTTATAATATATTTGTTATTATAACATCATCATTAAGTCTCTAGGAATAGATAATACTTTCTCGTAAATAACTTTCATATTTTTTACATCACACATCGATGAGCATGAGACTGATTAAATCAGTGTATCAACCCACGAAATTAATAAAAAAACTGGAATCTATTTACCGTAGATTGATTTGCATTTTGTTGGCCATCAAATGGGTTATAGTCGTCAAGCCCTTGAGTGACAGCACTGGTATTCCTAGCAACTTGCTGCACTGCAGGGTCCTAAAATAATAAATTTATGATAAATACAATAGATAGCGATAATTTCTATAATTTTGTGTCTAGATTACTCACAGCAAAGGGATTGTCAATGGCGGGATCACTAAACGGGTTGTCCTCGAAGTTAGACATTTTGTTATTTTATTTACGCCAGTTTAACTATTTATCTGTACACACCACAAAAGAAATACTTTAATATTAAACGAAACAGTTTATTTTTAGAATTATCTGCGACAAATACAATGAAATCGCTATGAAAATGACAGTTGGTGATTTGCCGATTGATCATTGAGTTGACACTTGAGTTTGATGAATGGTGACGAAATGACTTTGACAATGTTGCTTGACAGATTACTAATGTATTCGTTACGTGGTGTTATAACCTGTATATCTGTAAAAAGAAGGCTTAGTATGATTTCAGTTTTTTTTCAGTAGAAGTATAATTGAAAATAGGTTCAAATAGCACGAGAATTATCAATAACGCCTTAAATATATGTAGACATGCAAATAAAAACAAAACTAAAAAAAAACAAGTCTCGTTCAACTCAGTTTTTCTACTGTAAAAAGTTTTGATTTAGATAGCATCTCTTTTCATTCTGGTAACTTATACTTTTATAAAAATTATAATAACTAAAATAATAAAATAGCAATTTCATATGCTGCAGAATCTTCCAATAATATTATTCATGTGATAATATATTTAAACAATATCTTGTAAAGATAAAATATCTATTGTTATAAACCAGCACGAAGCACTGCTCAAAAAGAAATATTTATTTTTGTTGTTAATGAAATATGTATGTAAGAAATTGTGCGATACAACTATCACGTGCAGAAGAATTAGTCTCTTATATTGACACGTTGCCGTTCACTCGGTTTGTAATTTAGATCTTTTTGAATCATTTAATATTGTCAGTGTGTCAGCTGTCTTTGTTCTGAGATGTCAGTTTATTCAACGATGCTGTCAATGTAGGCGGCTGTTTACGTTTTTGTAGTTATTTTGCGATTGTTTCGATAATTTTACTATAATTTATTGTAAATATTAAAACTTTTAGTCCACAAGTTTCTTAGTGGATTTTAATTGTGATATCTCATTTATTAAATCATGTCAGATGTCAAGGGGTGAAAAAAATCTGTGTTTTGTGTTGTATCGTGTGAGTGCCAGATTTTATATTGTTTAGAATTTCATGTGATAAACATACGGTGTATTATTACTTAGTTTATTGGAACCTCTCATCACTTTATGATACAGGTAAGTCATTATATTACTTATAAAAATATTATTATAGCCTGTACGATTATATTTTTTTTATTAAATATTAAAAGGTTTGGTAATTGGTATGTCCAGTTAATATTTCAAGGCTTGCGTAATGTTGTATGAAATTCGTAACGCGTCTCGGTAAGCTTGCTTGCGCGAGCTACGGAACAGCCTGAGGTCGACGTTGAACACTAGGCGAAAGTTGTTGCTCTTGAAAAGGTGGAAATAGTAATGCTCAGAATTACTTAACATCTCGTAACAATTTTTTTACAGTTATAAATAAACAGTATTGTCTATATCCATAACGCTAATAATGTAATATTTAATAAAACTAACCCTGTTTATTATTATTTGTCTATTTTAAAACTGAGTAAATACAAAACACTACTTTGTGTTTATAAGTATATTTTGTGGCTTACATAGTATCTCTTGGAATGTAATCTATTACCATCAAATATAAAAATTCACTGTTTACTATGCTAGTGATTTTATAGCAGTGAAACAATACAATATCATTTAATGTTATGAAAATTAGTTCGTTAGTTAGAAAGGTTTAATATTCAGCAATTTACTTGAACACTTCTTGTTTAACAGGTATAATTAAATATTATATTATATAATGGGCACACGTGTAATGTTTTAGCACACCCAACATTTACTTTCACTGCATACTAATTCAGTACTAGGTTGTATTGCTTGACCAAAAGTGAAATTGAAAGCTAAAATTGTATTGTTGATAGATGTAGACCAGATAAAGTTATGTGAAAATATTTTCATCAACAGTTGTATGGAATATCTGATATGGTTTGTCGGTTTTTTTTTGTCAGTGATCATTTTTTAAATCGGGAGTATAAAGTAAAAATCAGAACCTTTTTATTAAATCTATTTAAGGCCCTTGGTTTACTTATTCTAGGGTATATTCAGTAACAAGACTAAGCACTAAGTGTGACTAGAATATGTCAAGAATAGTATTTTGCACAAAGTTATTTTGTGCTGGTTTCTGAATCTTACTGTTAGATCTGTGAAATATTCATCTAAGTTTGAATCTCATACTCATTTTAGTTTGGAGCTTGCACTTATCTTTGCATTGTGGTATCAATATGAAGTTATGTTTGATTAAATCAAATTACTTGAACCTGTAAGTATATATGTATAAGTAAAATATTAATTTTGTCATTAGCTTTCCTATAAAACAAGCAATAAATAAGATTTAAAGAGAATAAAAAAAAATTACTAAGTTACACAGTTGAAAACATCAATAAAATATTAATTTTAGGTTTAACAAACAAGTTTAGATAGATTTTCTAGTTAGGATTAATTTTGGAATATTTTCAGTATCATCAAACATAATGAAAACATATAATAAATTTATTATTTAGCACCTCTAACATAAAAGTAAAGTTATTATATATAGTATTTATAAAAATAGATTTTTAAAAAGCCAGCTATTCTTTGTAAGAGGTGGTCAATTTTTGAATCAGTAAACTTAGTTTAGTTCACAAGTCAAGAGCTCGCAAATTGTTGCTTGCAAGTAATTTTCACGTTACCTACTAGTTTTAAGCGTGTTTGGTGAAAATGTTTCAACCCCACAGGGCACGAAGCAATACTTTTTGTTGTTATATCGTACCTCTAATAGATGGCGCGAGAATAGAAATAGACTTAAGTAGAGAGGTAACACTACTATGCAAATAAATATTAATATATTTATATATCATCTCACATACTAATCTACACTAATAATAAAGAAATATTTAATTGTTTGTTTGTATGCATTTCTATAGAAATGAAAACTACGATAATAGAATACATTTTTTATATTTGGTACGCTCTTTTCTTGAAGCTGTACGTACGCTGCGTAAACTATTGACATTAGAGCAAAGTGATGTAAAAGAGTTTTATAGAAGACATCAATATCTACAAAGATGTCATACGCTTGATTTTGGATTGATCGCCTAAAATGAAAATTGACTATGGCTTGATACTGTTATAATATCAGGATCTTTAATCTTCGCCACTTAATGGTTATATGACCATGTTTTAAATGTATTATAAAACATTTCGTTATTTATTTTGACGAGCAAGTCTTTACAATGGTACGGTTTTCGTGTTACTGCATTGATATATCAAAGTTTTCGTCAAATAGCTTGTAGAGGTCGGCGTCGCTATGGCTGTTAAATTCTATCGGGAATCACATATCTCATCGTGGTTAATGAACTAAAATAGATTAAAGGCAATAAACTATTCTGAAGGCTAATGACCCAATATTGACTAACATCTTGTAACTTTACCAATGACTCTAAATAAGAATATTGTTAGTAAACACTTAAAAAATCGAACTTCAGTTAGATAATGTTACTACTCGGCTACGGAAAAGTCGACATGAACTTGACCAAATTTCATAATTAAGCAGCACCGGCTTCGGTTTAGTTTCTGGGCGGACCGTTTTATTGACCGTGACCCATGTTGAGTTACGTTTTGACCCATAAAGCCTTGTAAATATAAAACCTATCTAAAATTTAGTAACAGTCAAAACCGTTTACGACGACATCGTTTAGAACAACATACCGGTTATATTGACCAAAATTAAAGGTCCCGGCTGAATTCTATTGTATTAGGTACTTAATAACAACGTCATCGGCTGTTACGACTATCGGTTTTACGACCAAATATGAGTAGTCCCTTCGATGTCTTTAACAGATTTTGACTGTAAGTGTATATGTACCTATAGCGCATGGAAACGATTGGTTATTAAAGTACGTAATTAACGTAATGCGGATGTAAGTAAATACCTTTTACGAAACCTTCCTGTTTTAATGTGAAAGGTAACCTTGCCTGAACCTAATTTTCATACATAATCAAGGTTCTAGTTTTTACAATCTATGACCTTAGGTTTATATACGTTTCTCTTGTTACTGCTATTTCTTTTGCAAATGTTTCAAGACATTGTAAAAACATATATAATTATTTTATTATACACATACCAGATACCGTTAATCGGTGATTAACATCAAGAATTAACATGAAAAACGTTACGTTATGTTAGAACACGAATAATTGTTTATTATACTATGTTTTTATCTACGTCAAAGTATTAAATGCTCGGTCCCGGTGGTTTATAGAAAACGATTAAATAATTATGTCGTCATATTTAGTTTATTGCTGCGGGCCCGACTGTCCAGGCTATAATCACTGGCAGTTTTCGTTTCGTTCAGATTTACGGGCTTTTCTGACATCACAACTTTGCGAATTGCGCCATTAAAGTTATTTGTGTTGGTTGGTCTGTAACCATTACTCGGTTTGAGTTTATGTAATTATAAAGGGATGTTCATGGAATATGTTTCAATTCCTAGGAAACAGGGTAAAGGGAAGTGTCTTTCTTCTTTATTTGAAGTAAGGTACAGTCTTAATCTTTAATTTGCCCCTTTTTATTTAATTGTGTTTACACTGTAGTGAAAACAGATCAGCGAATCTTATGAATAAAGCAGAAAGTTGTCAGTTCTTGTTCGTGAAATGTCTTTTATTCTAATTGTGGGACATTATAAATTAGCAGGAAAATTATTATAAGAATATGTGTGTCAATTATTTAATTGTATTAAAAGTGGCGAGTTTCCCGATCTAATGAAACATAGTAAAGTTATTCCTTTATTTAAAGCAGGTAGTATGTCCGACCCCAGTAACTTTAGACCAATTTCCGTACTACCTACTTGTAGTAAAATATTTGAAAAAATTATATTAAATCAACTGGTAAGTCATTTTAACGTAAACAAATTATTACATAATAATCAGTTCGGTTTTACCAAGGGTCGCTCGACAGCCGATGCCGGTGTTGAGTTATATAGATATATAGTTAAGGCTTGGGAGGAGTCGCATGACG